CTTATAATTCTTTAGTTTTGACTTTTTCTATTTCTTGATTGCTTTATGACATCATACAATGTTTCAGTCTATAGAATATATTCCGCATACTCTGTTTGATGTTTCAACTGGCTTAAATGGTTTGTATTGATTTAGGACTTTAACAAAAATGAAACCGCATGAAAAGACACTCACATCCAATCCTAGAACAGTTTTTCTAACATACTACAAATCGAGACAAATTTTAACATCTAGAAAATATCTTACTCAACAGTATTTCACCGTGATGGTCAGCTCATAATTGATTTTTCGATCAAAAAGAGAGAATTTATCCTCTAAGTAGAGAGCTGCGGGTCCTTCCAGACCCGGTCTATATTTAGTTATGAATCGAAATATATAACAATTGAAGTCAACGAATACTGCTTTCTTTCTTATTTTTCAAAGTTTCTTATTTCCTATTATCTATATAATTAACAAAAGTCATTTCAAATGTCAAAAATAAAATCAAGTTGAAAAAACAAATGGACAATGGAAAAACAAGTAGTCAACACGTCAATAACATCTGTTCGTTACTCTTACATATTAGTACGTCTTAATACAAAAAATAAAAATTAATCTTTCGTTACTGTTCTTGTTCGTCGATGCTCTCGCTATGTGTGTCGATGATTTCTTCATCACTAAATTGATCATCGTCAAAAATTCGAGCTTTTTTCATTGTTGATGAGGAAAAAAATAATTCTTCGTCATCATCGATGGCGTCAACGTTGTTCGAGCTTGTTGGTGATAAAGGCAATACCATTTCATCTAGTTTTCATTTTTCATGTATGTATAACAATTGCTGACGATCAAATTCTTTTAATGTCAATAGATTTTTATTAAGAAAAAGTAATTTGTTCATCTTTTCGCCATCTAAGTTTGTTCGTCGATTGGAAATAGTATTACTAGCTGTAGAAAACAAACGCTCGACCGTAGTATTAGAAGCCGGAATACTATAAATAGTTTTTACTATTGAAGCAAGAGTCGGAAATGTATTCTGATGTTTTTTCCAAAATAATAAGACGTCACCATTAGGTTCAAGTGTAATATTTGAAGACAAATATTGTATTAATTCTTTCTCTGGTGATGGAACTAATATTGAATCTGCACCTTCAGCAGGATGGTCAAAGCACTCTAAAAGAACATTTTGTGTTGTTGGTGTAAGTTGTTGTGATTTTGATGTTGTTGAAGACTTTGTCGAAGAACAAGGTGTTATATTGATAATTGATGATCCAGAAGATGTGGATGATTGACGTTTTAACAATTCAGCTTTAACTAAATCCACAGCTTTAGATTTTTCATGAGGAGCAATTTGAAATTGTTTTAAAGACGGGTGAAGTAAACATGAAATATAGTGAACGTCCTGCGAAACCCATACGGTTTTAAGACGTCGACCTGCAATGAAAAAAAAAGAATAAAACAATAGATTACATAACTAATTATATGTCTGTAGTGTAAGTGTAATAAAAGCTTTATCACCATTTTCTCCTCCTTCATTCATATCAAAACAATAGTTGGGAATTAAAAAATAAAAAGGTATAACTTACATAAGAAAACCTTCATTTCTTTTAAACCATCACAATCGTTCGGTTTTACTTCGCATTCGTTAAGTAATTGTTGACGAAGTGGAAGAACTTTATAAATTGTTGGTTGTTTATTATCACTAAGTTGTTCGATTACCTCATCGAACACTTTCAGAAATGAACATACTTGTTCCAAAAACTCTTTATCCAACAACAAATATTTGTTTAAATTTATACTATCAAGAACAAGACCTAATTCATCAAAAATATCCAAAAATACTTGTAACATGTAATAAGCACCATTGAATCTCGTTTCTGAGTACGTTTGTACTCTTTTCGACATCTTGGTCTGTTTATGAGACCTTCTTACATGAGAAACTAATTTCTTTACACGTTCAAATAATACTTGGGCAACATCACATTGTACAGGTGATTTATCAATTTTTTTTTAGTAAACATATGTTCAAGCTGTTTGTTGATAAAATGACACAAACAACCAATACGCTGACAGTTTAATTTGAATGTTGAAAGCATCTTTGGTTCATTATCGGAAACAATGTAAATATTTTCATTTAACTGTAATTTATAGTCAGATAGTTTTGATTCAACAAACTTCCTTGTATTAATTGCACTATTTGATTCAAGATCATAATGGTAGCATCCCAACACAAAACAGTCTAATTTCCAATCATCATTTATGTGATGTAACGAAATTCCACAATATTGAATACATTAAAGGACAAAAGAAATAGTACCAGAGATGTAAAATGTTATTCCAACGAACCCGTATGAATATCCTTTCAAAAATCAACAACAAAACTCTATTCAAGCATTTTCTCACAAATTGAAACTAATTGTTGATGCTTTTGATTATATAATTTATTAACTTCACGGCTAACCTAGGAAAGAGAAGAAAATTACCTTGCTGTGGTTGCAATAGATTAAAAAATATCTTTCTTACTGTTGTTGGATGTGGAAGTAGTTTTTCAACATTAATACCTTTAGATATAGGTAAATATTTGCCGGCATCGAAAATTTTTTGTGCAAGATTTTTGAAGCCTATTCCATGAATTGTTTTAAATGATCGAGAATCAAGTGCTGCAAATTCAACACAAGCAATTTTGATTTCCTGCTTTATTCGATCTGGAATAGCAGGTTCATTTTTTGAAGATGCATAAAACGGATTGATAGTTGTTTGATTATGAGAAACTGTCGTTTTGACCTTTTGACAGCTACTAACATGTTTAGATAAGGAATTAGTGCCAAAAGATGGTTTATAAATAAGTAATTCTTCACATTGATTGCAAATAACATATTCCTATTTGATATCGTTAACATAAATATGACTAAAACTATTCCATACAGCTGAAGATTTTGGTGTTACTGTTGGTTTGATAATTCTCAATGATAAATTTTTTTTATCAATTAATTGTTCAATTTCTTTTTTCGTTAACATAGTTTGCTTTTTAATAATCGAAAAGTTTCAATTTAATGACTATTTAATAGTGAAAAAATGAACAACAAGAAATGATTGTACATTCACTTTATTTTTAAAGTTACCAATGAAGACCTAAAACCTTGTACCTTTATCCGTTCATGTACACAGAGGGTGCCAGATATTGGTGAAAAAAAGGGTGTGGGTGTGGGTGGATGTGGATGTGGGATGTGGGTGTGGGTGTGGGTTGGGTGTGGGTGCGGGGGCGAGTGTGGGGTGTCGCGTGGGGGTATGGGGTGTGGGTGGGTGAATGTTTGTCTTTTCTTCATCCACACCCACGCCCACACCGACACCCAAGCCGACACTCACACCCCACACCCACCCACACCCACACCCACACCCACACCCACCCACACTCACACCTCACACACCCACACGTTGATGTTTTACATTAGTCTAAGTTCGAATCAGGTCTAGATAACAGCCTAGCAACGTAATAATTCAGAAGACTTCGATTTTAGTCTTGCTTTCATAAAATTTGGGTCATGATTTTCACATACAAAAATAGTGCAAACAGAAGAGTTTTCAAATACTATTTTATATCATTTCCAAAATAATAATGTCAAAGAGTTAACATTGCCTAACTCGAATGTTTTGCAGAGATGAATTCTTGCAAGATTCTGTATGCAAAACTGATATATTTTCCATCAATCTAAGCAAAAACAATGCAAAACATGTTTGAAAAAGAAACGCGTTTCACATTTTTCACAATATGTGTCTCTGAAACGCGTCGCCTATCGACCGTAGTGCGTTCGACAGCATTTTACTTCAAAAACGCTTCAAAACGTAATCTTGAAAAACGGCTTTTTCGATCGTTTCAAAAAGAAACAGCAGTAAAACGTATTCTATTAAAGTAAGAATGATCCGAAACGCGATCTTTATTGAAAAAACGTTGCAAAACGCATGCTGTAACCTCGAAAACGCGTTACGCAGTGCGTTTCTTTCAAAATTTTACTCATTGGGCATTTCTTGTAATTTTGATGTTTATTCAAAATCAAATGCTTTCTAAACTTGCCATTCGATGTAGACTTTTGTTTATAAACAAGATTATATTATATTAACTTTTAATTTTGAAATCATTGTTTCTTTGTAATGATCAGATACATTTAGTTGGCCAATTAATGTTTGGCTAATATTTTTCCATAAAGTTTTTGAAAGACATGCTTACCTTCAACAAAACTCAATATCATCTACAGTAAAAACAACAAAAAAAGATAATAAAGTAGAAAATAAGACTATGATCTAATTTAATTTTTCTTCCAGAATTGTCTCTTCTACAGATTAACGTCTAAAATAATTTTGAATGGATTATATTTTAATAATAAATATCAAATTTAAACGAACACTTTTCGTAAAGATGCATGAAAACAAGGCACTGATAATTCAGAAAGTTTTGTTGTATTATCAACAGCTGTTGCTACTGCATTACTATTGATAAATTTACGGCAAGCCCAAAACACATAAACCTAAGATAACAAAGTCTATGGCATATTTATTTGCATGATCATCATTTAGTGCTTGAAACTTTCGATTTAGGTGTGAATGTGGATGTCGATATTGAAGAATATAATATTAACACCCACATCTTTCAGGATTTAGTTGTTTTCTTAGGAAAAAAAGAGCAAATCGCGCAACGATTCTCACTGAATCCGTCAAGCATTTGGCTCGAAAAAATCAACGATATTTCATAGGGTTCATAAATAAATATTGATGAGATAGAAGAATATCAACTAGAAGATGTAAAAGCAATAGTTTATAAATATTTCGGCCGAAACGAAGTTCGACATAGAATTGACATAAAGTGGATTTAGAAATTTCATAATTTTTACCGTCATTTTCCGTTAATCCAACTTTCGTTCAAGACTTGAGACTGTCCATTTTAGATCAGTTTAACCATGGGATTGCTTTCTGGTGTAAAGATATCGAAGTTATCTAATAAAAATTATTTGGTTCTTTCATGATAAAATGCATATCAAAAGAAACACATTTGTCGACTTTTCAATCGGAATAAAAATCAACATGCACATCACATTTCAATAAGGCATTATGTAATTTGTCCCATCATAATGAGGCATGAAACTTCAACAACAAACGTTACTGGACATCTAAAAATTACGAAAATGATCAATCGAACCATCGCGTATTGTCTAAACACACATGGCTATTGCTTGAAGAGGAAGGAATAAATATAATACCAAAAATGGTTTGGAAAATGAAATAATATAAACCAAGCTGTATTTACAGTGCTGGCGATTGTTATCTGTAGATTCAAAATAGTGCAATAGATTGATCGATACAAGCTGGAAGCATCTTCGACACTTCAGAACCAGCTGACCTATTGATCCAAAGAACGGATTTGTTAATGGAATGACATAGAATGAGAGTCCACACAGTTTTCGATGATTATTTTCATTATTTAATGCTTTTGAATTTCTACTTGTCTTTTGTTTTTCTCATCAAGTATTTGCTTGTAGAATATTTCTCATCTAAATTCTAAGAGACATCATGGCGAAGATTTGTAAAATTTTGATCAAAAACATAGAAAAGGAAATATAAATATTGTATTCCAATTACTCATTCAATGCTTCTATGGATAATATAATGATAACATGATGATTAAATATTTTAATTTATATCTTGGTTTTTTAACATTGTAGTCTTCATTTTTTTTTTGAAAGACAATACCTATGAACTTGTAGCTTTATACAACAAGCAATTGATATCAGCATAAAAGCAACAAAAGCAACATGGATCAAACTATTTGAGTATCAATACGAGACAAAGGGAGAAAACTTAGTCATTATGCAGAGTTTGATAGTGACAAGAATTATCCAATTGATGTTTAATTAATCTAATGTAATGCTGTTTGTTTTTTTTTTAAATCATGCTTGAGCAGTAACTCGACGAGAAAGAATATGATTTTTCATCAATCGATAAAAATTTGTGACATTCCAAATAATAAATCGTAAACCAGTTGTAAGACCACCATAGAGACCAAGCACTGATGTAACCACGTACAAGATGTTATTGCGTGTGACATATTCAAAATTGCAATGTGTTGGTGCACATGCAGCAAAATAATCTTCGTATGAAAAGTTATACGTCCTTCCTTCGAGAAATAATTCGTCCAAGAGTGTACCGATTGAAGTGTTCTTTAAAAATAGTGAAGGGATTGAGCTATCTAATGGAGATATCGTCAAAGGCAATATTGTCGGTGGAACAAAATTAATAGCTGAGGATCCATTCAGTTGTATGTAGTATTCAAGATAAGTGAGAATGGTAGAGATGCAACTCGATGAAAAGAAACATTCAAGTGTGGACATGCGAAGTCCATCATAGGGAGAACAGCTGACAACAAGACCAGGTAGAAATAGGTCTGGTGGACCGATTCGTAGTGGTTCCTGACATTTTCCCGAAATCATACAATTGCATGTAGTATTAGTGAAGATACGAGGTATACTTCGAATGAGATAATCGTTGGACTCATTACCATACTCTAATAACCAATCAGTATTGAAGGTTGTTGGCAAAAAACTTAGATGAAACATTTCACTTAGGAAATATTGTGTTCGTTGAAAATCATTTTTGAGGATTCGACTGTAGTGGGCAACGATTTCGGGCATGTTCAATGACATTCGAGGTAATACTTTTGTAGTCAACATCGTTGTTTGAAAGAATTTGTCTATTTGTAAATAGGCACTCTTTATGATTGATTCACACATCCATCCCAAAATTTGGAAATACTTGCTAAGAAGAGGCCGATCAAGTTGCAAATGATTGTCTGCAGAGGATCCATATCCATATAATAGCGTTATCCATGTTGTATTGATAAATTCACTGGAACAGATCTGAACAATGTATGATATGAAAAGTCTTAGAAATGACTAAACTACAGACAATATCAGATTCAACAACACTTAGAGGTTTGAGAGATATTTAGCTTTATATGCTGTTTTTTTTATAAGAGATCTTTCTATCTTCAGTCATTAGTATTTGATATAGATATGCAAGAATAATCACGAGCTCTCTGCATTTGAAAATTATATAAACTATGCATATATATTCTTCTGAGCTTTGGTTTACAAATAAGTAGATTAGCTCAATTCAAGAATGTTGGAGGTGTAAAGTCTTCGTCATAAAAAGTTTCAATTTTTTTCGCCAGAACCAACACTATTTCTTGCGTCCGATGACGAAACGATTTTCATCCTCTCCTAAAAAATATCACGACGCTTCTCCCAATCCATGTTAGTTAGCTAAGGTTAGTCCAATAAATAACGTCTGATATTGTGAGAAAAATCTCATTCTCCTATGATGAACTATACTATGATGATGTATAGAGAAATGATGCTTATATGAATATGAATACCGTTCATCCGCATAGATTACCTGATGGAATTTGAGCTTGACAGAAGTGAAATCACCGACCGATACAGAGGGTTTTCGGCAATAACACGAGAGTGTGACCGAATATGCATCTTGAAGTTGTTCAAATCTAGCGATTGAAGGTGACAGTACCGTTGTGGAGACATTAGTTAGACTGAAGCCATTTAGAAGGGCAAGTATCATCATGATTGTACTAAGTAAAACAACATAGATCCGACTTGATGTAATTGCCACCTCCTCACGACCTGGCATTCGACTAGTGGAGCATTCTTTTCTGAAAAGATTCATTTTGGTCAAGTTCTGGATTGTTTTCATTCTTAACACATTGAGTCGATGCAACAGACCTACGAAATTATGAAACGAAAACAATTTTTCTATGATGAAAATGTTTCCACCAAAAGTAATATGTATTTATTTCATTGTTATGATCATCAACTCGAACCTGCTGAGCCCAGATCACGGACAGAGAAATTGTCAACAGTTAGACAGCATGCGTATTCCTATGTCCTGTGTATTAGTCCTTTAAAATTATTCACCTCAAATTTTATTATTGCCGAAGAATTTTTGAGATTTCGAAT